CCTCCTTCTCTGGAGATATTCAAGCCCCGCCTGGACAAGGTCCTGTGCAGCCTGCTGTGGGTGACCCTGCTTCAGCAGGAGGGTTGGACTGGGGGACCCACAGAGGTCCCTGCCAACCCCAAACATTCTGTGATTCTGTGATACTCTTCAGGCTCCAGAATACAAAGGCTTGGGGCCTGGCCCTATATGAAATAATACCATATGCATAAAATCATACCACCTGCAATTAGCTGTACACGAATCTCGGTGTGAAAAATCTTACTTGTTAGGTTTCAAAGGGCCAGACTCTACCTACGCATGCAGGACCACAGGAGTGGGGGGCGATGGACCCAGGTCAAGGTAAGCAAGTACGGATTAAAAAGCAGGTTTGTAGAGTTGTCTAAGCAGATTATTTTGTGGGGTGAGGTACCATCCTTTGAACATCAAGGCATTCCACAGCTGTGTGTGGAAGGTCCTCCCGGGAAGAGGAGAGGGCTCAGACCCAGTGCCGGCAGTGAACTGAGGAGTTCTTCAGGCCAAATTTGAATCTAGCGTAACTCTGACCACAGCTCTGGAGTTGGGCCAAGGTGAAAGTTATATGCACATCACTTCATTATTAGGTTGAAGCACACTGGTCATTTGGTTTTCCCAGTGCCTCAGCAGGACTGGGATCTTGGACAAAGAGCCACTACTTGACGTAACAAGAGATTATGTTCTTGTGTTGGACAAAGCAATTAGAAGCTGGGAAGATGTACTTTCAACTTCAGGAAGCGTCAATGTCTCTAAGGGTAAAATCTGGCCTGCCCTCTACTCGGGCTCTGAGGACTCCAATCTCCAGCTTCTTCAGAGCTTCACTTGGGCTGAGATTGCTTTCCTAGGATTAGGGACAATTCTTTTTCTGGGAGGGTGGAGATTGCAGGTTGCAATTTGAGGAAACAGAAAACGTGCACAGCGAAGCTCAAACACAACTCCTGAGCCCTCTGGATTAAACCACACCAAGAGAGAGAATTTTAAAGGAAATGGGTGTAATAAGCAAAAAGAGCTCATTCCGATCAGTCGCACACACACACTGAAAACTTCTGACAAGCATCACAAACAATGCTGTGACGATTGAGTCTGCAGATGCACAAAATAGCAATTTATAAGAACTGCACACCAATGCTACAGTACCTGGCTGGTTTGTGGCTTCTAAAAGCACAGCACATGTGGAAAAATAATCAAAGTGATGGATTAGGACAGGAAAGGAAAGCGAGCTTTGACAACTCCAGAATGCTCTTATGGAATAAAGGAAATATGACATGAAATACATATGCTATCTGTGAATACTGTTAACGGATCTCCTCTCTAAATTACAGCTTATTACAGGGTTTTAAGAAGGTAATGGATTATATCGGTCTCTCTAAATCTCGTTTTACAATCTCAGAAAGCACGGGGCAGTGGCAAAGCAGAGTTACGCAGGGCAGTGCTGGACTGAGAGCTACCTGCACACCGCCAGCCCTGTTCCAGCGGAGGGCCCAAACCTGCTCAACCGAGAGCGAAGCGGACTGCTGCCACTGCCCTGCTGCGGGGAGACAGACCCTGCCTCCTCACAGGCACTGTCACATTCTTAAGGTAGAAGGATAAGGCAGAGTTACTTGTCAAGCTTTTCTGTGTTTTGACGCCAGTGGGTCATATCCTTTCTCCATCTCAGATTCTCTTGACTTCCAAACGCGCTCCCAGAAGGACTTCTCTCTGCAGGATAATATTAAAACAGCAGTCATCCAATGCTAATTTTTTTGCACAGGTAGCAACTCTAGATTTGTTCACAAGTGAGAGGTGACAGCAAGCTACGACTTCTTAGAGCCCAAGGCTTTGGCACTCCCCCAAGACGTTTACACAGCCCCTAACTCTGTCATTGCTGAGTGGCATGAGAGGCAACTTCACTTGCCCCAGTTTTCATCCAAGAGAGCAATGGGCAACACAGACCTCTGTGCTGCCACACACCAGCTCGCTGCGGAGCTAACAGAGAGATGCAACTGAGATACTCAACTCAGGAAGGCAGCTTTCAGGGCTGCTAGGAGAAACACCTTCCTTGGACTACATAAGGGTGGCAATCCTCAGCAGTCGGATATTGCTGTCCTCAGCTGGCACACGGTAACAGTCTCAGGATGGTGCTGAGACCTCCTCTCCCTCCTCACAGTCTTTTAGGTCTTTATTCTCACTGCTGGGAGGGCAGGGAATTTTCAAGTAATAAAGGCAATCAGGCCAGTTTAAGAAAAAAAAAAAATACAAAGGTCCCCCATCTCTCTGAAATGATCAGTTAATTAGGCCTCTAAAATCATTATTCAACTTAGCCCACAGGACTAATTTGTACCAGGATGCCTGTGGCATATCCAGGCATTTTCAGAGCTATCCAAGCAAGATCAGCCAGTTCATTTTCCACTCTGATCCTTGCACAGGACATACCAGAATGCGGCTCTGAAAGATGCCACACTGGAAGAAGTTCAGGCAAGAACTCCCCATAAATGAGACGTGATCACATGTAGAAAAAACCAACCAAGTAACAAAAAAACTGCCTCTGGATGGAACTTAGGAAAAGCGTGGAGATTTTGCAGACCCAGTGAAGCATGCTGCAGACCACAAACAGTTTTTTCTAGGAGCCTCTTTGTCTGAAGATCTTGCTGGGTAGTATCCCACACCACAGATGGGTACAAGTAATTGTTGGGGATGGGAGCAGCTGTTTTTGGAAAAAGGGGACAGCACAGAAGACTTCTTGACTCACCTAGCTGTCCTCTGCTTCTTCGGACCATTTCTTGCCTTGCCCCTATGCTTCCCAAAATAGCTTCTTCGAGTTTGGCTCTCATGTCTTTCGACTTCTTGAACGTCAGACTGTTCATTCTTTCAAATACTTTCTTGCCCTGCAAGTTTCAAATGAGACCGTGAGGGAAGATTCTTGAAATCTGGGATATTTTCTAAGCATTCACCACTCAAAATATCTTTCCTGTCTGAAGACATACAGCAAGAAAGGAATACAGGTTTAGTTGCTAGCTAGATCATCTACCCAGACTCCAGCACCGCTACAGAAAACTCTCTTCTTGTTGACAGTAAGCAAAATGGCCAAGAGCTGTCCCCTTTCCCTGCTGCAGTTCCCAGATGAGTAGCAAGCAGCACAAAAGCGTAAGACGTGAAACAAGGCTCAAGACACTTGCATGGCTGAAAAGTAAACACGGAAAAAGGCGAGAGGCTGCACAGACAAGTGCACAGCCTTGGGATTTTGAATAGAGGAAATACTTAGGAGAGGGCAGGAAATGCCTTTCTGGAGTCGTGTAAAGTTCCTCGGCGAGCCCCAGGAGGAACTTCAGGAGGTTTAAACAATATAGCAGTACCTTGTATTCAAAGCAGGATACACAAAGGTAAAGCAAGTCCAGCAGGCGATTGAGCTGCAGCACTGACAGGTCTGTGAACCACTTCTGCAAGACGCTTTCGTCCGCGTTCTTGAGCACCCACAAGAGACAGATCAGAAGGCTGCGGCTGGACTCTGTTGAGAAGGTGGAGTGCTGCCTGCCACTCTAAAACAGACAGGTCAAGACATTTGCCACACTGTACTTCACGTCCAAACACTTCAATCATCACTCAAAGGATCTGCACCAGCTACCGACCCAGTCTAAATAATTACCAAATGGGAACAGAAGGTGAATAGACATTTCTTACCAACAACCAGGAGATACACATTTCTCTGTCTCAACCCAACAGCTCGCTGGAGCCCACAGACAGTCAAGCCACAGGAGTGAAGCAACAGTTTGAACCAAAATAATCACATTATATGAAGGAGTTTCTGTTCAGGCAGCAAATACCCACTTCCCTCAAGACGCTTTCAACAACCTCCAGCAGGTTAGCAGTTAGGCAGAGGGGCTCCATTCATAATCTCCTGTACATATCAGCGTCTCACCCAGCAAAATGGGGTCCTGATGCAGGAGTAAAGGGAGGAGGAGGGAGAAATGGAAGGCCCTGCCTGTTACCGCAATCAGGAGGAGTCCGTCTTCAGCTAGGTGGGATTTAGGTGTGGTAGGAATTTTTGCTTAGGGCTTAGAGCCCATTATGACCATTGCACTTCACAGACCTTTTATCAGATTGTTTCAGAAAAAGAGAATCTTTATCAGAAAAGAGAATTCTTCCATTGTCTGAGGTTTGTTGATTTTTATCCCTGCTTGGCATTTTATTACACCCTCTCTGAGACAGCCACAACAACACGCAAACGTGATTTGTTCCCCCTTGTCTTTCACCCTCTGCCTCCCTGTGTAACATCTAGCTGCAAAGTGATAGGAGTCCCTGCCACTCACTGATCAGCCCCATAGGACCTGCACGTGTAAATATTTGCTTGTTGACACAGATTGAGGGTCAGGGAGTAGGGAGAGCGGGCTTTGTACCGATGAGGTGAGTAGAAAACTGCTGGGCCGGGTGAGCTGAGGGACCGACGTTCCTGCGATGGCCATGGCAACTGTCTGGCTTATCATGCTTCCACCCTCGCTTTCGTAATCATCCACAGCGACGCAGCTTGGCCTCCCTCGCTGATTGTGACTCTCTGCCGAGAAACATGTGCATCTAGTCAGTCCCCAGACTCAAAGTTTCTCTCCCCAGCCTCCCTCCGCAGTGCTTGTTTCATCGAACGATGCATCTGAGAATGCAAACTGAAAATCACCACACTCACGGGGTCGTGCAGGTAAACAGGACCATTATTTGAGGTCACGCAAAGCAAAGAAAACCACAATTTTCAAATGCAACCTACACAACCTCAGTATCTAGAACCCTTCTGAAAACAGACCTTTCGGCCCTTTGAACACTTCACTCCGAGTCCTTACCTGCAGCTTTATTGTGTCATTAAACTCAACAGGTGTAGAAGACAACTCCAAATCCCAACCCGTTCCAGACTGGACTCCTTGGCCTGATTTGAACTAACCCACCTCTGCTGCTCTTCAGGACACTTTGCAAAGCACCCCTGAAACGAACTGCTGACAGAGCACGTACAAAGAGGGAGAAGAGGAGCTCTGCTTGTCGGCTGGAATTGTTATGAGAATTGTACAGTAGGTGGGGTGACCTTCTCAACAGGCCAGAGATGTAGAGGGAGGGCGGCTACACATACACAGTAGCCGGCCAGATGTCAACTAAAATGCATTGCTAGCTTTTCTGCTAGTGGACAAATGCACCTTTTGAGTGTTAACAGCCACTGAAGATACATTTTGCAAGTGCAGCTTAGGAAATGGATGTGAAAACCTGTCAAAGTTATAATTCAGAAATAGAAACAATCTCATCCAACAGCAAAGGCTTTTGTAGTACAATTTTAGAACTCAAACGCTCAAGTCTTGTGAGCAGATAGACATATATTCAAAGCACAGAATATAAAATACCTGTGAAGTCATAAAGCTGAGGCACGGTTTCCATGATCACGCCGATCAGAGGTAGATACAGCATCGCCACCCGGGCCTTTACCTGTGGGTCAGCGTACCGCGGATCCGAGTCATGGCTGGACAGTAAATTGTGTACCATATTGATGACCTTCTTATGCAATCCAAATAAACTGTCAACAGAGAGTTGGGTCACGCAGATTAGTTAATATCTCCAAAGCAAACTATACTTTGTAACTAAGTGGCTTCAAAAAAGAAAAAAAAATACGGGATTTTATTTTTAACTTCACACACACTGCCATTACACATATTTTTTGATCTCCCATGTATTTTACAAACGGCTGGCTTTTCACTACGCCATATAAAATGTACAAAAACATCTTGCAGAGGTGCACATCCAACATAATGTGACCACCCTCCTATTTTCCACACAAAAAACAAAGCCCCAGCTACTGCTAGGCTGAAGTATCGCATCTACTAAAGCCTGTTAGGAGAACCTAGGGAATATGGAAAACAGGGAGAGAAACTTGAGAGGACAGTGGGTTTAGTGAAACTATTCATTGTGTTCTTTTTTTTTGTTTGTTTCGATTTAACGCCATTTAGATGGAGAAAAGCCTCCTAAGACAGAACGTTGCTTTTATCAGAGGATGGGGAAGTTTCTGCTTCAGTTCCCTGACCCCCCATGCAATTATTCAACCAAACCAGCAGACTACAGATCCACAACCCTGCATGAAAAGCATCAGGGAAACGGAGGGGTAGACGGAAAAACAGCAAGAAATGGCCTTCCTCGTTATTAAGGTGCAAACGACGGCATCTTTTGCAGGGCACCCTGCGTGAGCCTACTCGGTGCTGGAAAACGCCCCCTCCCCTGCATCTCTCAAGAACTCGCTCTGCTCCTCTCAGTCCCCCCAGCCACCACGCAGAGGCAAAACGCTCCCAGAGCAAATAGCAGCTATCGCCGCAGCTATTTGCTGCTGTAGGCAAACCAGGCCAAGAAGACAACTTTACCCCATGCATGAAGCAGCCAAGGAAGCTCATACATTATGCATCAGCAAAACATAAGCTTCAGTGTTCAGACCTGAGGCATTAAAACAAGTGCTGAATTTCAGGCAGTATCCACTTTACCTGAAAAGTAGAGTTGAGTTCTGGTTAAAAAGATGAGAGGCTTTGACTGGATTGTTGGGGGGTTTCAAATGATTCATAACACACCAGCACGGGTTAGGAGGACATTAGCTAGTTGTAGCTACCTTTCTTCCCTGTGTTTTTTAATCAAGCCCTAATGAGATCCTACAATTGCTTGCTTGTGTAATTAGCGAGACCCTTAATAACTAGGAAGGGAATGATTATTTAAGTGACTCGTTCCCTCAGATTAAGTTAAAGAAAAGTCTTTGTACTGTTTTGAAGGAGCGGCCCCTAAGCTGTGTTTCTGACAGTTCAAAGGAACCTACCCTGCAGGCCACAGAACCGCATTTAGGGAAACCACTTCCAAAAAAAGCAGCGTAATTCAAACCTAGGGCTACGGGGATTTTTTTTTTCACTTTTCCAGAACAAAGCAGGTACCGTGGTGGATCGATCCATAGCAAAGAGGAGGAAACAGAGCCCACTAATCTTTCTGGCTGATAATGCAAGGAATTGACCTCGCCGCCCTCCAGCCGTCCCCTCTGTTATCTCAGCCCTGGCCTGCGTTTGGGTCAACACTGCACACTTTCGGAAAACGGACTTTTGTCACTGAATACCGAGGGCCAAATTCCGGTTTTCTCACTTCTGCCCTGTAACATCAGCCAATATGGGCGACATGGGCACTGTGAAAGGAGCAAGGGTAATTATTCCGAGTTAATAACCAAAGCACCACAGCGTTGTTTGCAGAGACAATCTGTTCAGGGTCTAGCTGCTCGGACTCGCTCTCTGTCCTCCACTTCTGCAACAGCTGGCTTCCTTCTTCTGCGTGTTGTGTTTGTCTTTCAGACTGCAGGTGCTCTGGAAGAGGACTGCGAAGCACCTAGCACAGAGGGATCTATCTAGCACAACACCTTCGGGCACCGGGCTGCTGCAGTCTTCTCTCTCCAGCTCAATCCAAAGAGCTCTTATGAAATGGGTGAGCTAAAATTCAGCATATTTTGCTAATAGAGCAAAAAGAGCTAGGACAGAACACATTTAAGGCTCTGTATCACCTATCGAGACCTGAGGCAACGCTCCTACACAATGAACAAGATGGACATCCCTCTCCACCCCTGCTGCAGGAGAGTGCAACCGGGAACAATTCCGAGCTTTTTCTAATGGTGGCCAAAACATTTTAATAGCACACATGTCTGAACCCTCTACTAATATCCTGCTGACGATACTATACGACTGCTAAAAGTCTTCAGAGGCAAGGGGAGCGCAGATCTGAACAGACTGGTTTACTTTATACGGTGGATTTACCCGGGTAAATGCAGCGGGCTGAAGCCTGAGAACAGCTAATAAGCTGCAAACTACAAGTCATTCTGGAAAACAACAAAAAACAAACGCATGACTGGTGTACACCTCCACGAAAATTGAGGAGCTTTGATCAAAACGCATCTCCAGAGCTGAACTGGTATCGGTGGGCTTTTTCTGTCTAGACAAGGTTGGAGAGAGGAGCTGCCTCCCCAGCGAGATCATGCTGATAGCTCCCTGGTGCAGTGGTGCAGAGATTACCATCCTGGTCCAAGCTTCAGTGCCGAGAACAGCAAAGTGGGAGAGCTCAGGAGGCAGGTGAGGGAGAACAGAAAGTTTGTGAAGAACAAGGGCAAACGTGGTCAGAGTCAGGGCTTGATTTCTAACCAGTGAGCAGGATTGCTCCTATGCTACAAAAAGGATTTCTGCAGACGGTATCTACGGGGAAAGATTTGCTGCTGCTTCCATTTCAGGCCAAACAAATGGGACTGCAGGTGTTATGTACATATACAAGAAAATTTTCTAATTTATGGCATCACTTTCTTCTCCAACAGGAAACAGAATGAATGTCTAACTCCTGAGACCTCTTGGTAAAGGGCAGAATTAACCATGAATCATCAGCATTTGTCGACTCGGCTGATATTTCTGAGTCCACCTTGAGAAAAATGCCTGCGAGAGAACTCAGGACCGTGGAAGCAATCAATAATTTCCATTGAAACCCATTTTAAAAAGGGTAGGCAGAATACAGCCCTAAATAACACAAAGAACAGACTGGATGTCAGGACTACAGGCTACACTCTTACTTCAGAAAACTCTCTGCTGCACAAGCCAGGCAAGCCGCCGACAAACTCTGCACGCTTGACTCTATTTGTCTATTTATGTAACCCGCAGGGGCCTCATCAATGCATAATTTATGTTCAAAAAGAGCTGGGAGGACCACAGGCGAAATGCATTGTAACATTTAAAACCACCAGCAACAGAGACTTCCTAAATGTTGAAAATTGTTTTCTCGTTACAATTGAGAAAAGCTATTTTCCTCTCAGAGCTCCAGCAGTGCCCCTGTGGTAGCTGGGGGCTCCGGCAGGAACCTCTTTCCTTTCTTTTCAGCTGGAAAAATGTGACTGAAATCACGTTTACAGAGTCAGGGTTAAGGAAGTAAGAAATATGAGGGGTAGGGAGAAAAAAGAGGATTCTTAAAGAACTGGTTTCGTATCTTCTCAGCTCACAAATTTAAATCAATTCCGGCCATACCAGAACTTGCTTTGCATACACAATTTGCTTGGAATTACAGAAAACTCTTGGGAAAAAAAAAATCGTTAAAAATTTACCCTTCTGCATCAGGATCTAAAATGACCGCCAGTTCGGTTAACACAAGCCCGGCCAAGTAATGCTGTTGGCGGAAAGGCACAGACAATTCAAACATGTTTGCAATCTTCTGGTCTTGGACATTTGTGGAGAACCCAGAACTCTGTGAAAAAATCAAGTTTCAGAAGTTGCATAATGAGGCCCCTTGGAACACAGAGTCAAAGCTTATGCAACACATTAGAAGCAGTTTTCAGAATTAAAGACAATCTCACACAAACTACCTTTTTCCCTTGTTTTGTTTGGATCTACGCACATCGACCTACATTACATCCAAGCTCACTAACTCTTCTACTAATTCTGTTTGCTGTTACTGCATTCCCACCTACAGGGTGGACCTTGGGGAGGTTAAGTCAAATAACCTCTAAAAGTGGATTAGTTAAACTTCTGACTCAGGTACAGATGCTCTTATTCAGGCTTAAGCAGGGTTTAATTTGATTTAGTGTATGTAATTTTGCAACTAATTAATCCACTTGAACGACCCACTTGCTAACTCAAATTACATTTTCTAAGCAGGCTAGGACTAAGCTACAGTGTGCTAGAAAGACACTTGTTTTGTAAGAAAAGGGTAACATTGGACAAAGCGTGTTCTTTAATGGCTCATTTATATTCATGCATTTGTCTAATATAGGAGGGGACTAGGTCCCTAAGGACAGAAATACGTCTGGTCGCTATGAGGGCAGGGATATGGGCGTTCTTTTGTCAATAATAAAAGATGCAAAGGAATCAAAAGCTACGTGGCAGGAAAAACTAATTTCTAAATAAACACCTCCAAAAAATATTAGTAAGCAGAGACTGAAAATACAGGTGATACAACTGCCTCCTGTGATTTCAGTCTCAGAACAAAGCTCAGCTTGCATTTCCACGAAGGATCTTTGTCACAGTGTACCTGAGAAGTTGCTGAAGACACAGATGGGGACGGAGATGCAGGTGGTGTGAGCAAGCTGCAGGGTAAGTTCAAGGTGACGTAGTGTTCATGGCTGCAAATAATGCGAAGGAAGTCCAGCCTCAAAGACGCCAGGTTACTTGGATTGGTTAAGGAATACAGCTTCGAAGACACCTGGCAAGTTTGGCCCAGAAGATTGCAGTTAGCACCAAAATCACAGAATCACAGAATGGTCAGGGTTGGCAGGGACCTCTGTAGGTCACCCACCCCCCTGCTGAAGCAGGGTCACCCAGAGCCGGCTGCACAGGACCGCGTCCAGGCGGGTCTTGAATATCTCCAGAGAAGGAGACTTCACAACCTCCCTGGGCAGCCTGTAATGCAGCACCAGCCCCCCTGCCTCACCACTGCTCCCCAAAAACACTTCCAAAGCAAGAACTGAAGAGCTTGATATCACTAAACGGTCACATCCGTGTCAATTCTTCGTGCTACAGATGAAACTCCTCATGTGCAGGAACCATCTGCATCCCAGCCAACAGCACACAGATCAATACAAGATGCATAGAACAGCCATATTTACATGAACAGGTGAAGAACTACGTACTGCACGTATGATCTCCACATCCTACTGATTTCAGTAGGGACTTGTGAGAAGTAGGAGCACACGGTGTGGTGCATTAACAGCTCAAAGATGCAGGCTGGCTAATATACAGCAGGCAACAAAGCTCGAACGCTGTTGCTGTTCTTGCTCCTTCAATAAAATGTTTTTGACTCTGTGGCAAAAATGAGTCTAAGCTTACGCTCCTGATACCTCAACATCTCCTTTGTACACAGTGTCAGCCCGGATGTTTGTGGTCAAAGGAAACTTGGTGGCTGGAGGTGATTTCCCTGCCACAACATGGCAAACAAACTTCCCAGTGCATGATGCAGGAACGCTCCTCACCGGGGAGGAGACCTCGCGCCCTCAGAAGGATGGAATGGGAGCGCGGTGACCAGTACGATCCTACAGAACCAACGCGTCCTCGAGAGACCCGCTGACAAACCACAACAGTCTGAGCTCCCTCACAAAACCTCCTGCTAATTTTTGGTTCCACTACTTTGAACGTGGCGAGCAGAGGGAATAATTCTTCCTTCCTGCTGCATGTCCGCTCACTCAAGGCAGATGCTCCCAATTCACATTTAAGAGCGTACTCGGAAGGGTGTAAACTCTAAATCACCACTGAGAATGGCTTTCTTGCTCTAAAAAGACCTGAATAGCAGAATTCTGTGTCCATGCTTTACTGTCTGCCCAAAGAAAGTTAGGGCAATAGGCTATGCTATGGTTCACAGTCAAGTCGTAATATTTATCTGCATTCACCTGTTTGTAGCAGGTCTTAATAAGCATAAAAACAAATCCTCTGTCCATGATAGACAACAGGTCATTGAGGAAAAATGCAAGACTGGTGTTGAGCCTCTCAACCATTTCTGTATCCTAGAGAGAAGGAAGAAAAAAAAAGGGGGGGGAAAGAAAATGAAGAAGAGCACGCTGTATGTTTTCAAACAACAATTTCTGGTCGAGGCACCAGCAAACAACCTGCAGGAGGTCTGGTGCCTGAGCTCTGACCGGGGTTCAGTTTAATTGTTTGCCATTACCTTCTGGAACCGAGAGACTATATCACCGGCAATTGTGCTGACCAAAGCAGTTACATCATCCATGAAACGCTCAGGAAAACGATTCTTTCTTGGCGCATCCAGTTTGTCAGCAAAATACAAATGATGCACCATGCTCTTCACCTATAGGAATATAAATTACAACAAAGACACTCGCAGTTGTTGCCATGGGTGTTTTAAACTACAAACTGTGAGACAATAAGCAAGGTGTTTGCAGTTTGCTCACCATCAGCTCGAAGAAGAACCAGGCCTGCTGCAGGGCTGCCTCCCGCACGCTCCCGCTGCACACAACCCACTGTAAGGCCAGCTCCTCGTGAAAAAGCTACACAGATTCAAACCCAGCGTTAGTCCGAGCCTCGAGAGCAGCTCACAAAACAGTCCGCATGAGAAATGGTGGCACGGTCCATGGAAAGTATGGCAAACAATGAGGTTAAGCAAAATAAATAACTGGGAACACGACAGCGGTGGTGGCACCCCTTAAAGAAATCCCCGACTAACAATGAAGGATGATGTGATGATACGTGATGTGAGAAACGTGTCACAGCATCTTGCTCCAAATTGGAATTTCAAGTGTCAAAAGAATTTTCCACCCACCCCAAAATAAAAAAAAAAGTTTGGTGCTCAAATTAGTTTAGTTTAAAAGTCTACCTTTCTGCCTGGTCTGATTTTTGCAAGAAAAAGGAGTAAAAAGTGGACATATAAAGCGATTTGTACAAAGATGTGTATTTACTGTGAGAGAGGACTTAAAAAGAAAGAAACGTGGGGCTAATAAAGAGCTTTTTGGTTCCTTTCCTCAGGAGGACCGACCCACAGACGGGACGCTGTCAGTGACCACATTTTCATCACACCAGAAGTCAGGCATTTTGCATTTCTGACATTGCTCAGCAGGATCTCGACTCCTCTAAGGGAGTGCACTTCCAAAGTAAGTCCCGCTCACCTCCTGGAGTCACTTTGGACTAACACCTACACAACCGAGTTCAGCACGCATCTGCAATGCTAGCCAGCTAACACATTATCATTTTGCACACAAGAATCGATCATTTACATGTCTAGACAGGGCTATCCATATTTTTTGAAAGCCAGTAATAAGCTGGCTCCAAACAGTATGGACATTAAATCAGACAAGGTACTCCTGATCATTTTATTCTCCCCAATTCAACTCTGTCAGAATACTTCATATTCACCACAGCCTGGATATTCAGAGGTGTTAAGCAACAGCAGTTCCTAATAACCTCGGAAAAAAAAAATCAGGCTATAAATAAAAGAATAGGTTGTATCGTGTTTTCAGAATGACTTGACCTCCCTGCCCCACCATATCAATTGTCTTCACTGAAATCTACCTTTTTAGTTGGTAATCGTCCTGTTAATGTTTGTAAGAAACTTGACGTCTCAGTGTGCGAAGACATACGATTACAACTTCGATCCGTAGCCTACGGAGTGGAGATGAATGAATGATGACAGGACATTAAAGTTTGCTGTGGATGGGTTTTGCAGCTCAAGGACAATGTACGTTTACAAAAATACTGTTCCAACGGTAGGCTTTTACTGTTTTTACACCTTTTTATGCATTCTCAAACTCTTATTCATTTACAGATTTGGTTTAAACAAAATGACAGTACTTTTTCTTGTTTTCAGACATACAGGCTATTTCAGTAACGGCATGTTTTTACTCACAAAAACACTTAATGCTGCAAAGCATGAAACTTTTTCATCGTTGTATTTTACCAACATGCACATGTCCAGGAAGTCACCCTTGTAACTTCAGCCCATACCTCTCAATCTACCAGAGACCAAGCACGAGGGGCTGAACCCCACAGCGACGCCGCTGCTGCTGGCACCGGGAGCGAGAAAACCACTGAAGTTCTGTTTCTGATGGAAATCATTGGCCATGAGTGCGAGTGAACTCCAACTAAATATTTCTGGAAGACTGATAAACTCAAAAGGAGGTGCAGTTGAGAGGTACGTTCAAGGCAATCATGCAGTGGAAAGCAGCAGGCAACAGGGGCTAAATAAATTCAGTCTTTCCAACTGGAGCTGCTGTAAAGTTTTCATACTTTGCAACACAGAACAGATACAATTGGCCCTAGCGAGTCACTCAAATTCACATGTTTTAAGAGAGAATTTTACATGTGGTAATCAATTTTGGTTTAACAATATTCCACTCAAGCAGTCATGAAGGATTACTTGACGATGAATACTAAATGCTTGATGAAAATGGCAAAACGGTTCACAACATCAAAAGAAATGGCAAACAGGGACAAAACTATGAAGCTGTGATTAATGTTCCCCCTTAGAAACGTGCTCCACCTGAAGCTGAAACTAGCATGAGAGAGAGAAAGAGAGAGAAAAGCAAAGAAAAGGAAAGCAGTCACAGCGTTTACATTTCACAGACCAGCAACCACCGAAATGAAAGAAGGGGACACGTTCACACATTTTGAGGTTTCTCATGCAGTGTGGTGAGGTGGGGGGGTGAGAAGATGCTAATTCATAAAATAAAACTCACAAAGTTTTCAAGGAATAAATAAATAATAATAAAAAAAAAACCACCAAACCACCAAAATTGGAGTATGCACTGAAAGGAAGATATTCTACAGGGAAACGTCAGGGAAAACAAAGCCAGAAAAACCTCTACTGAAGACACCACCTGTGTTGACTCTGCACTTGGGCTGGGGTTGGATCCCCATGGGGCTGCTTTTGGACCACCAGTGTTTACCCAGGAATTGGAGCGGTCTAAACCCTGGGCATGTAATAGAAAGCAGTTGGGAAAGGAAAGAAATATTACATGTTGCATGCCATACAGTAGTCAAAGTTTAGTCCTTAAAAGCAATCAAACTGGGTTCACTGCAAACACATCACCAGTTAGCACTGTTCAAGCAGCCTGAACTCGCAGGTGTCAATGTCCAGAGGATCATTCCATATCTCCTCGCACACACACACCACGTTAATACTGCCAACAGCTCTGGGCCAACCTGTCCCGTCTGTAACGCCTGACATTCAAAAACCATCCTCCTCCTGAAAAATCCCACTCCTCCCGTGATGGGTTTAAGCCCGTTCATTTCAGTAGCTGGAGCCAGCTCAGATTTACAGTGTGACAGGCGAAAACCAGTGCACAGATGTGGAGGCCACAAAGGATGCTCTCAGAGGCTTCCAGCACTTCTAGGGTAGACTGCTTGTTAGCCCACAGTCTATAAGCTCTACAACTCTTTCAGAAATGCTGAGCAGCTTTGAAAACACTGATTGTCAGCTCTCACAGGGTTTCCTACTCATGGAACAAAAACCCAGTGCCGCTGGCAGAGTAAAGCTGCGAACAGGATTTCACATGGACATTTGGGTATTTTCTCTGGGCAGCGTGGCAAAGGGAGGAAAGAGCACATACCTTTTCTGGAACCAATCTGCCATGCCAAACAAAATATTTAAAAAATCATCCTGCTTTTTAAAAGCTCAATCTAGTTTGTACTCCAAATTCTACTCCTGCAACGGATCATATGGGCAAAACTACTGTGGATCCCTCCTCTCTCTACTCCCTTCTCCTCTCAAGACACTCAGAAAGAAGAAAAGGAAAAATTTAAACTTCTGTTTGGCACCCAGGCTGCTCCCAAGTCAGGAACATTCAGTGGGATGCACTGGGCTTTCCCAGGTGGGTCCCAGGAACGAGCTCTAATGGAGGCACATGGGTTTGGACCCTCACCTGAGCGAGAGCGTCCATCCTAGTTTCTGTGCCAGCTTAGGGCTTTTTCCCAATACATGAAGCAAAGGTGCAGCCCGGTTCATCACAGAGATTATCATCAGCCCACCAAGCCCAACCATCTATTTCTCTCAGCAAAGAAAAATCCACCTCAAGGTTGAACCCAGCATGAGAGCTGTAACCTGGGATTCAAACCATTAATCCACCGAGCTATCCTCTATGCAGAGGACAGCAATGCTGTAATTTTGCTTAAGACATCCAATAAAAATATACTGAACACACATAAGGAGAGTGTTTTAATCTCAATTACTTTTTGGAAGAAATAAATCAAAGCTCTCTGCCCTGCTGAGATCCATAAACATGCTTTATCTTGCTCACAGTGAATTAAAGTCGAAAGGACTTTGCAGAATGCTGAACTAAGCTCATGCTTTGTAAAACCAGGTCTAATTTTGAAAATGCCTTTATCACACTCGCATTTCTGCTCACAAGCTTTCTAATCATGTCACTCTGCTAAACACATACTGTGCCGGCAGAAGCAGAAGTCATTTTCTAAAAATCTGAAAAGATAAAGATTCTTCCCTCTTTGGAAAATAAAAGAGCACATGAGCTGCTTCTTGCTTGGCAGAGTCACTCGGAAGTTCACAAAACTGCTATGAAATGCTTTTCTGCCTCTGGGATCCATGCAGGAACTTAACACTCGTTGGTGAAAACCCACTGTCAGAGCAATGAAACTCCACAATCTTTTCTGTTGCTTCCCAGCACATCTCCACATTTCAGGAACACTTACAGCGTGCGTAAAATCTCATCATAGGTCTTTTTATACACTTAATAAATTTGCTTTAGCAGGGAATAAAATTTACGTGGCCTCGATTCACAAATGAAGGCAAAATAAGTGCAGACTAAAACCTCCTCTCTTACGCAAACACACAGAAATCTTCCAAATCCTGTAAAAGGGATGACTATGGGAATTTTCAGAATTAAGAAGCTGATATAGGGGAGACTTCAAGCATATTTACCAATCCTATCAAATATCTTACATTACAATAAAAAAACTATACAAGACAGGACTCCCATCAAACAACAAAACACAATTTGATTTTTTTAAAGCAGAAAGCCTCCCATAATAGATTCCAATTCGAAGAGCAGGTTCCCTATCTGCGTATACGTGCTTAAGCCATCACTTGGAGAAACAGAATAGGAATTTTTGCACCCTTTTATCCATTTCAGCATCTCAAGAAGTGTCTTATTTTTGTCTGTTGATATTAACAGGCAGAAATAACTATATTCAACCGAAATTCTGTATAGTCAGACTGAGCTTAATTTCTGATGCTCAGACTACCCTAAAGGAAACTTCTCCCTTAACAAGTATTCACAGAATCGTTTTTTCTTTAATGCCTGGAGTACATCTCTAGAAGAAAAATCTTACTTCATTCTGTATTGCGGCATTATTCACAAAGCCAGCACGTGTTAAATAAAATTCTGATAGCCTGTGTAAATTCCATATGCACATTACTGCCTATGGCATTAAACAAAAGGTCGGGGTTGTTTAATGAGCAAGACACTGAAGTGGTCTTTAAAATATTTTAATACTTCTACACTTCTTCAGCCTCTTATTTGGTCAGCAATTCATGTTGTTATTCATTTTAAATTGGTAACATCTTTCTGAAATTACATTTTTCTTGCTCTTGTAAAACCCAGGACCAGCCAGTGTCAAGCCTGTCTGGTCAGGCTGGTGGCTTTACAAAAAAACTTGTTCCCTGATCTTCCAAAGGACTGAACGTAAGAGCTCTCTGAAAGGGCTCAGGAATTCATCTGTGCTGAAGAGTGCAGGGTCACAGCTGGGAAAGTGTCCCATCTTGGCGTTAGTTATCACAGTTTGAAGACCGAAATAGAGAACCCCAGACAAGCTGAGGCACCCCCCTCAGGGAAGGCAATGACCAGCACAGCAGATTTGCCCTGGCTCATCCCACCTGTTCTAGGCACAAACCTGCAGTGCTCCAGCTGGGACGGCAGCAGCCCTACGTACCTGGAAGCCACCAGAGAGGGACAGGCCCTTCTGCAGGAGGTGCACACACGGAGCCCCTAAGAGCCAAAGCAAGACCATGCCAGATGCTCTGCACTGATGTGCCCGCACTGGGAAGTCACTTTTGGGCATGGGGGGTCAGTGTGGGCACAGAGTTAGCCCTGCAGAAATTCACACTGCAGCTCAGCTGGCCAGACCACGGCTCAATCACCATCCAAAATCCTCTCTGGCCCACGCAGGGGCGAGGGAAAGCATCTGAGCAGCCGTTAGTGATGATGCAGAGAAGAGAGTGCTTTGATTTGGGAGATAAGAGAAGGAGCATGGGGTGGCAAGGTAGGGGATGTAAGGTTTGGGGAGACATAACAGAGCTGGTCAGAGGACACGGCTGCTGGCCATGTGAAAAGCGAGTTAGTAAAACCATTCTTGTCCTACTAGTCTTGGGGAGACAAATCCAGAAGGGCTCTTGCCCCTAGCCACCACACTTGTGGAAGTAACACTGCCAGGATGGTTTCCAACAAGTCAGAGAGATCAGCAACTATTTTCAAGGAGTGGAGTTTCAGTAGCGTTATTTGCAACTGCCGGAAAAAAGTCTGAGAAGGGGCCATTAGTAAGGACATCTTATCATAGGAAAAAAAAAAAAAATCACAAAAACTTCCCTGTTATTTCTTTAAAGATTAAATAAAAGATGCTGAAGTTCCTGTAAGGCCCTCAGCAGTGCACGCGTACCTTGCTGCCAATGATCGAGCGAACTTCATCATCCGGCGAGGTGGGCGTCCCAGATATGTCTGGGTTGCTGTTGCTGAGGCTCCTTGAGTCAGGTTAAGGCTCGCTGGTCGGACAGCAGATCGAGCCATGGTGGCATAATGCACCGATCCCCCCAAGCCACCGGGACCTGCGGTGGTGCATGGAAGAACGTCCTGTTAGACCATCAACCAGAGCCACGACCTCACGCTGGCCACGCCGGCCTGGTGCAGCAAACCCTCCGTACAACCAGTGGGACTGGCTCGTGATGAAATCTTCCCTGTGCCTTCCCCTGCCTGTTCCTCCATGGCAAGCAGCAGGGAGAAAGGGATGGGATTAGAAAGCTATTTTATCCACTGATCTGTGGGAAGCAGGAGCTCCCCGTGGATTTAGGCAGCCGGCAGGAGGTATGTCTTTAGCTAAGGGGATACTTTCCAGACCTCAGGCTGGAAAACCAGACCTCAGGCTGGAAAACTGCCGAGGAACTGGGCACAGTTTTAAGTACACAACCTTCCCAACACCTCTCAGAGGTTTTCCACTGCATGCAAGAACCAAGTGCTGTGCACAACAGTCCTCCCAAAGCCTGGGTTTCTGTGGCTGTCATTCACACTGACTCTTCCACCGTGCAGATATATCCCTTGTTCTTAGCAGAGGTGGAATTAACTTATCTCCCTCCCGTACCCAGACGTGTGTTTTCAAGTATTTCGCAGTCCTTTGCCAGTGTTTCAGCTTTTGCTGGAACTGGATAAAAGTACAAAAGTACTAGGGAAGGAGACTGGGAAACGTGACAGGCCAAGAATGCACCACATCTGTCTAACCTGCTACAGAAAACAAAACTAAAAAACCAGTATTTTGCCATAATTTAGCCTCATGGTCTTTCAGTGGTGACACTGTTTTTTAAGATCATCAAATAGTTAAAACTCTGTCACGACTAACTGTAATTAAGTTCATCTAGTAAATGGGTACACTGGATCATAGAAAAAGTTAATAACAGGGCTTGGCAGGGAACCAGCCACGCAGCTGGAGCTCGCCAGCACCTGCCAGCAAGCAATTTCTGCTTGCTTTTAACAAACTGTGACTCGAAATAAAATGAAAAAAGAGCTACCTGGTGATGGCGAGTTGGGATAGGTATTTGGTAGGCGAAAAACGTAATAAATATAGGAAGCAAGAAGGCTGTTTCTGCCATGCTGGTCCTGGTTGCCATCCAAGTTCTTGTGAAGTCTGTTTATGATTGATGCCATCGCTTCAAAAGATGCTTGGCCCAGGTTAACTGGAAGAGGTGAGGAGTTTGTTTTAGACTGCAGCAGTACCCACGAGCAAATCCTAAACCCGCATTCATCCACCTTCTCAAGGACACATGACGAAGCTTGTTAAGAGTATAGCAAGCATTTCTCATGAAAAACCGAACCTGGTATTTGAAGTAGGCCTAATGAACAGCTTGACAGGAAGACAGGTGTTGCAGTGATAAGCTTCCACTTTTATTAATAACAAATTTAATGAATTTAGCCCTGATTTCTGGAATCAGCCCAATTTGGTCATCAACTGCAATGGTAACAAGATCAAGTCCTTGCCTAATTGACAAATAATATCATTTGGATATTTACCATACTTTTCTCAGTGAATTATTACCTCCATTTAAGCCTTAGACAAAATATAAACTGTATCAGAAAGAACAATTCCACTCTGTTTTGGAAAAAAGTCTCTTCTAACAATGAGCACAGAAATCTACACATGGACCCAGGTAGACAGTCTAAGCAAATTAGGGATGAAGCAGACAGCTGCTGGAGACTGTAAATCTTATTTTTTTAAAAACTAGACACTCATGTCCTCAATGCTCCACACAGACAAACTAAACGAATACAGAATGCTTAAAGAGTTACAGAGCTTTAAAATATAAATAAAAATTCACGCAAATTATTTCCCCCAGAAGATAACCTTTCTAAAATAAACGATTGCTACTTTTAAAGAAGTCTTAGATACCTATATTCCATCGTGTCCAAACTCAAGTTTCCTATGAAAAAATCCAACTGCTATTTTAAACACTAAGGATCAAATCCTGACTTCCACTGGAGATTATTTGTACTGCCAGAGCACAGCCCCTAACAGGAGGGATTGTTGGTGCTGACAGTATCAGATCCACAACAGCTACAGCAACATCAAGCATTTGCATGTTCTTACCTTACCTACTTCAAGATTTTCCAAGGTGACTAGTAAGGTTAAAATTCTTAGTTTCTGAATGGTGGTATAGAGAGACCTTAACAGGCTCCAGCGCTAAGAAAATGCTGAGCATCCAACTCGTGAAAGTCAGGCCCCTTTCTGGTGTCTCCACTCAGACACCAAATTACTAGTCACTCTTGAAAACCTTTGTATTAAATACTGCTCCTGTGTATATCACCACAGATCTGGATGCCAGCACGTTTTATTTTGAAGATACATGGTATATTAGTGGCCCTAAAATACAGCATAAAAATGGACTTTTTTATTTCTACATAAATATGATAAAATTGGAAGTGTCAAACTTTCAGCTATGTAATTCTCTATAAAACTTAAATAGAATACCTATTTGGCCTGCAATGACAGGAGGTCTTACTACCAGAAGAATCAGTTTGTCAAGCAGGAGATGAAGAAATCGCACTACCGGCTCCAGTTGAGAGGAATTTAAAGCTGAAATGCTGCTCTTCAGTTCATTTTCCAAGTTGTTTTCCATAATTCTCATGTCTCCTATTCGCACAGGGAACATGTGCTCATCCAGAGCATGGACAAGCGCAAAGAACTTGTCAAGATAAGGGTCCTACACACAAGCAGAAAAACCAATAATCAGCAAGAAGCTCCAAAAGCAACTCCACTTTCTATGGATTTGTGCCTCATGGATGGATTCTCTCCCTCATTCTGCTGTCTGACCATTTAATCTCACAAAATCAGCAGAACCTCAACATCTTGGAGAGCTCTGCCCATGTGTCTAATTCAACTGCAATCAGCCAATGTTCAGCAGCTATCAGGGCAAAACCAGAGGACCCACAGACCGTGTATTCTTAGTAAAACAGACAAAAATGCACTAAAATCACGTTACTATTTACAGCACAACTAAAATACACAAACAAACATCTAAGTGACATACTGGGAATTAATAAAACACAAGCTGAAATGATTAGTCAAAATGATCGCCATCTTTTCAGATCAAAGACAGACAGACGAAAAATACACAGAGAAACAGAAGAGGCAGAGGGGAAAAGGAACAACAAGAAAACATCATATGCCTGGACTGTATGTTGTACTAAACACAACAGTCTGAGGTCTGAAAACACTGTTGGCCATTCACCCCCTGTGAATAAAGGCCAAACTGCTCATATTTTAAGCGGAACTTCTAAAATATACTCACAGCAGAATGTGGAATAACAGGTCTGCTGGCTCAGAACTGAAAATGAGATCGCAATTTCACTACAAGCAACTATTATACTCATCACAGCATTAACTTTGACAGCATTTCAACTGTCAAAAGACTATCAAACTCCTTTTATTATGATGACTTCTCTTAGCATTTACCTGAGTATGGAGGGATGATACCGCAACGACCTCTACGTTGAAAACCCCTTTGTGGTTATCCACCCACTTCATTCCGGGGAGCGGAACCTGCAGGTTAACAGGAAGACGAGTGAGGGTGTGAGAGAAAGCAGAGCTCTGGCACTGCTAATTACAGTTCCCATTGCTTTCCATTTTCTTGTCAGACCACGCACATGTGCCCACACACAAACACACGCACCTGTCTAAACTTCACCTAAGGGGTAAAAATGCACATGTGCACACACACACGTACTTACATGCACACCTAAATTCTCTCACTTTTGAAGAGAAGTATTCTCCTGCCGATTTTCAGCACGAAGAACAACTCACCTCTGGAGAAAGCACTGAGTAAGCCTGCGGTGGTTTTTCCAGTGAAACAGGTAGGCAGAACTGACCAGTCTTTAACCGTCCATTTTGAAGCATCGGTATCCACTTTCAGGAGAAGGAATGAACAAAACAAAAAACAAAAACACACACTTCTTAGGGTTTTCTTGAACTTTGCAGGCTTGACTGTCAAGTTCTCAAACTCTGCAGTGGCATATGAGTTGACAGTGACGCTAAGTGAATAACACATTAGGAACAGATCCTGTGCTGAAAAACACAAAGACTGAAAGACACTCACGGTGTATCCAACTGGAGTCTCCAGGGGAGTGTTTTGTTTCTGTTGGCAGCTGACGTGGTAGAAAGTAAAAAGCAGGTGGTGGTGATCGGTTAAAGTGGCTGGCAGCTTAATCTTGATTTCCTCATGAAAATCAGGCGATCTGTGCAGAGAACAGACCCTCAACTGAGTCATCAACACAAACAGTGTGGTTTACCAGCTATGATCGAGACCGAATCCTTTGAGTTAAAGTATCTGGAGGGAAGGAAGCACATGGACTATCCCACGGGATTAAAGCTTCACTTCTGGATCACAAGAACTGCAAAAACTTCCAGTATGCACTTACAGTCCACAAGAAACGAAAGCGGCAGCGCCCGCCTCACACAGGCACCCTGAACCACGCTGCTCCCCATGAGCACGAGCTCCTGTCTCCAGGTGGAGACCGCCACAACCCCCAGCCTGCAGGACAGGAGATCCTCTCCCCCTGCATCTCTTCCCAGTACAGATACAAAGGCTACCAACGTGTCCAGGCCAGATCCAGCACTCCTTACACCAGCTGCAATGAAATAATTTTCAAGACCAAGTACTTCCAATTTGTAACTGAAGTCTGAAAAGCTCCAGCAAAATAATGTAGCACACGCTAACGTGAGTTTGTAACGTAAACCTCCATGACTACTACCTCGAAGCTTCTACTCACAGCACCTGCTGAGCTGGGCTACGTGCTCAGGATCGCAGTCCCTGGCACGATGCTCTTGATTTGTACCAGAGCAAACAGAGACTCCGGCTCCCAGTCATCGGAAAACTCTGAGGGCAGCATCAACTGACACGGCAGTTGTTTGTTGTGAGTGCTATCCAGATAGTCATCGTTAAATAATTAACACTGAGACAGAGTCATCAGTGAGCTACTCCGCTTTCACACTGGTTGAACTTCCTTTCAGTGGAATCATACTATCTCTATGGGGCCATGCCCTTTTATAAGCTGTTTTACCTGTTGTGATACACTACAGCTGTGTATGCTTCTTTGGAAAATTCAGGACAGCTAGATTTGCCAAAGATGACCTGCAAAAAAGAAAAAAAAACCAACAGAAATCCCACTATAAAACTGTGCCAAGAATTTGTTCCATAATCCCACAGAGACATTTACAGCTCCATTCACGAGTCTGTGCACAGTTACTTCTCTTGTTGGATGCCCCTTCACTTATACGCAACGTTTTACTCAGCCACTGAAGATTTCACAGGTTTCATAGCCCCCATTAGACACACACACAGATAGGGCTGAAGAACTGATGAATAGAACCACACCTATGCAAAGCCAGTGAAAGGCTTTCCCTGCTATTCCTCACCTGCAGAACATCAAAAATCAGGAAGATCATGAATTTAGAAGAAATCAGAGCAAGAAAGCAAGCAAGAAAGAACATCAGGAGAACCAGGCTAACAGAACTCAGATAAAGTAAACTAAGGAAAACAGAGAAAATTACTCAGTAAATAAGAACAACTAATCTCTACAGGGATTTTCACCACAGTATCTCAAATTGCGCTACACAAAAGGGCAGTTTCACCCAGGCTGTACAAGCACAGCCTTGGAGGAAGGTACCTCACACCTGGATCTTCACCAGGTGCTGATCACCACTGGCCCTGAACACAAGTATAACCATCACCTTTAATTTTTTTGGCATGGAAGCAAAGGTGCTATTCCAAACACAGAGTGTCCACTGCAAACATCTCAGGTTAAAATACTAGCTACTACACTGTTACTTTGCAAACTCTAGACAAATGCACTTTTTGTTCTGAAATACTATAATACACTCCTCTGAACTGGTTATTCTGAAATCTATTTGTGAGGTTTTCTTTAACACAGGGATTTTGCGACTGCAGCGTGTCCTCTGCCTTATCAGCCTGCAGCGTTCCCACAGAGCACGAAGCGCTTCCCTCACCGGCATGGCGTTGCTTGGGTCCTCTCCATACATGAACTGGACTTTCACAGTGATATTCCTGGCAGATCCTTGGCGGTTGGCGAAGTTAAGGCTCTGAGGGTAGACATACAGAAGATTCCTGCAAGACACAGAGGCATCAAGTGAGCATCTCCGTGTGAGAATGAGGGCTCACACCTTTATTAATGCTGTTATTTAAACCTCTACGGAAACACTCGAGAGAGTCGAAGTGAAGGGTTGGACATTTTCCATTAGCCAAACAATCTTCTCTTCAACATAACTGCAAACCCACACAAGCAATTTGATACTGACGCCTTATTTTAGACATCAAAAAACATAATATTTTAAACTGCCATCATATTTTGAAAGAGTTCCGAAGGGTACTTCAAAAAATGCATCCAAACGTTTAACAGTGATTGTACAATCTAAGAAGTTCAGGCGGGAAGAAAACATACAAACAGAAAAGCACTGAAAAGTTTTTATTTGTTCAACACGGAGTGACTGGTTTCTGTTAAGTACCTTCCTTGTTGTAACCTGTCCTTTTTTTAAAAAAAACCTCCTTACATCAGGATAACTTCAGGTTACACCTCTCCTCTGAAAACGGATTCAACTAAATGGGTATCCCTAGCTTCAGCAGACACGCAATCTTCGCAGCGGCTCAGATGGAATGGTGTCTCCAACTCCACGCCTGAATACTGCACTTTGGGAAGGATGGGGATCGACTAAAACTCACATCTGAGAAGCAAAAAAGTCAGGAGCTCGGGCAAACAGTGGGGATGGGCAGGCTGAACCAGCAGTGTTTAGTTTTGAGGGAATGGCTGGGGCCACAGGTCATGACAACGCTCCCAGGTATCTGAAGAACTGCTGCGAAGACGAAAGTCATAAAGTGACCATCATACCCACAGGGAACACGACAGGACACAACCGGCTGAAAAAGCAGCACAGGAGATTTCGGTCAGATACAAGGGAAAATGTTCTGACTGTTAGGCAGCAGCAGAAATTGCCTGGGGAGGGTGTGAAATCTCCATTCTCCAGTAGCTTTTGGGAACAGGTGAGGCAGACACCTGGCCAGATCGGTTCATAAACAACCTCAACCTTCACGGGGGACACACACATTTTGGGGGCCCCTTCCAGCTCCGTTTCAAGTCTATGATTACTGTAGACGCAACAGCGATGAGATGCAAAATTCTGCAATATTTTCCATCCTTTTAGCCCTACTGACTCGCTGCCAAGAAAGCGCACGGTGGATTCACACATCATTAGCACAACTGCCCACTGCAAGCCCCCGCCTGCCCTGTGAGCAAGTGTTTTATACCTGCAGAAAGCCCCTGGCATGTTCTTTCAAAGACAAGAAAGAAAACAGCCCTGAACCACTCCAGTCAGCATACTCCGTTATTCAGAGGAAATACGCCTTCTTTTGCCCCCAAACAAGTAAAAGTGTACAGATTATTACATGTCTTTTAAAAGCCAGCCTGGAAATCCCTTACCCATCTCCCACACAGCCCTGCCCACCAGACCAGCATCGTTCCCCCTCGGATACCCTGGCTCCGACGGCTCCAACAAGCGGGACCGGGAGGGATGCTCACCACCGGCGACTGGGCAGCCCAAGGCGAGAGGTTCATATTGCTGCCTCGCGTCTGCTAGGGATAAGAGACTGCCATGCTGCATTTTGCCCTAACACTGAAGCAACCAATTCCATAACAAGCCCTGGCTTCTGAGGCAGGAGGTAAAAGAGGTTCCCTTCCCCCTGTCCCTCTCCAGGAACTCTTCAGTGAATCTGAACACAACTTGTAAGTGGTTTCCAGCTGTCCCAGAGAGACAAGAGACAACAGATGGGAACAGAAAACCACAGCGAGGAGCACAGCAGGACATTTTAAGTGTAATAAAGCAGCCACTACAGAGCACTGAAAACAGTAGATTGAAAACAAAAAGAACCTTTTG